CTACTACTACTACTACTACTACTACTGCTACTACTACTACTGCTACTACTACTACTGCTGCTGCTGCTGCTAATCGTACGGGGACTTCACACTAGAAGTACTGCTGCTAATCGAGTGCTGCTGCGAATAAATAAAAGCGAGATATGCAGCAGCTAGTGCAGCTGCCGAAGTCCTGCATAGTATGAAGCATTTGTGCGTGCGCGCGTGCGTGCGTGTGCGTGCGTGTATAGCTGGTAAGCGCGTTTGAGGTTTTCACCGGCTGCGTATATGCTTGCATAATACGACCTTATAAGTTATACGCGGAAGCGGTGCAATGTTGTGTAACGTATACAGCTGCCGAGGAAACTCAATACGCCGTAAGGGGCTGGCTTGTTGTGTGCGTGCGTGCGTGTGTGTGTATGTGTGTGTGTGTGTGTGTGTGTGTGTGTGTGTGTGTGTGTGTGTGTGTACCTCTATAGCCTTATAATTTATATCAATCACTAATCCACGCCCAACTATATCGACCGAGCCCTGTGTGGTGAGACGCCTACGCACCCTGTTCCTTAAATCCATCTGTGTTGGACTTGGAGTGAATGATAGTCACGTGGGCCCTCCTTGCCGATGCTCTCCGCTGCAGCAGAACTACCACAGCGCCCTCTGCCTTGCCGTAGCCATTTCCTAAAGATTAGAAACCAAACTTCACCAGGCGAACTCGACTCGAAGGTTTTCCCGCGCGTTGAATTAGGATTCGAGGATTTGAATGAGGATTTACAAATGTAGATGGCGTTGCTCACCGGCTGCGTCGAATGACTTGCACACGCCATCTGGTGACAGCATTCCCAATTTATGATACTGCAGCGAATGCTGTGGCTTCAGGTTCAGGTTGACTCCACCGACTATAGCAGAGTCACACTGGCCGCTTCTGATAGCGGCTACAGCATTGTCCACGGCGTACAGACTGGAGGAGCATGCAGTGTCGATCGCGTAGCTAGGACCTGTAGAAGCAACAACAACCGCGGAAACCGCACTGCGTAACGTAATCTGCACGGTAAACACTCGTTTCCATCCCTCAAACCGCCCTCGGTCGTCTCCGGTGTGCACGTTGAACTATGGTTAAACTCCGCTTAATTGGCTTTAAAATTGCGCCTTGTTTACTAATACTAATAGCCACCACTAATATACACCAACTTACGCTATCTATTCGATTCGAAACGGTGAAAATAGAGCTTGGAATACGTCTTTTACGGGCAAGGGCGGTTTGGGAGACGGAAACAATATGGATATGGCCCAGTCATATGTATTTAATACAAAAGTGCAATGCAGGCAAACCAAACCAAAGATGAATAAGGCATCTAAGAACTCAAACAAAGACGAATAAGGCATCTAAGAACTCAAAACTTAATTTTAAAATATAATACAGTCAAATAAACGGAGTTTAACCTGCACACCGGAAACGACCGAGGGCGGTTTGAGGGATGGAAACGAGTGTTAAATATCTTAATAAATTAAATATCTCTCACCTTTGAGATCGAAATAGAAGGAGAGTAGGTTGGATAGCATTGATCTATGTAAATATCTCTTACCTCTGAGATCGAAATAGAAGGAGAGGCGGTTGGACAGCATTGATCTACGCGATCCCGTCAACGTTTCTCCGGACACGGTGTCAGCTTCCAGACTCCACACCTCGTGAGCCTCGCTCATCGATGCGCCGACGAACACAGCCGTCCGGCTGCCTCGCAGCTCGAGCGGGTCGCAACCTGCAGCGAGAGAGAGGGAAATGGGTAGAGGGAGAGAGGGGGTAGAGAGAGAGAGAGAGAGAGAGTAATTGAAAGAGGGAGAGAACGAGAGGAAAAGAGAGGAAGAGAAAGAGAGGAATAGAGAGAGAAAGAGAACGAGAGAGAGAGAGAGAGAGGACGAGAGAGAAAGAGAGATGTACAATTTATTAACCCTAACCTTGCGTTGCTTGAGCCTTTTACAATCACGTGTGCATTGGCACCACCAAACCCGAAGGAATTGATGCCGACAAAGCAGCCCCTGGGCAGTGGCGTAGAACTGGTCACCACCTGAAGCTTCCCATTTCGCAGACCTGGAACGTCTGGATTCGGCTGACTGTAGTGCAGGTTTCCCGGTATAACCCCCTCCTCCATCGTTAGGATGACCTTCGCCATTGCAGCGAGACCTTTGCCCGAGAACAAAAAAGTTATTCTCGCTGATGATTGGCAGAGGGCACGCGACCGAGGCGCCATCTTACCACGTATCCTCATCGCTAAATTAATTTAATTGTCTTAATCAGAATAAACCGAAGATAGAAGAATGATGGAAGAGTAGTCGAATTAATAACAGAAAACAAACACAACAAATCACGTTAACTTAAATCGAAAAAGAATAAACAGAGTAAATAATAGCTGCGTTCACACGTATACACGGCTTAATCCCCTCTCTCTTCTCTCCCTCTCTTCTCTGTCACCCCTTCGTTCCGCTCCTCATCCCTCTTTCCAACTTACTCCTCCTCTTTCTCCTCTCTCTACCCCCCTCTCTCCTCTACCCCTCTCCCTCTCTCTCGCTGGCAGGCTGCGAACCCGCTCGAGCTGCGAGCACCGCCGGATCGGCTGTGTTCGTCGGGCGCCTCGATGAGCGATGGGCTTACGAGGTGTGGGAGTCCTGGAAGCTGACACCGCGTTGTCCGAGAAAACGTTGAACGGGATCGCGTAGATCCCAAAATGGCCCTTGTCCAACCGCCTCTCCATTCTATCGATCTCAGAGTCAGAGAGTTTACCACTACGACTCATGTTCCACACCGCCTCTACTTCTAGTTTCGCACTCAGAAGTTGAGCAGATATGTTTAACTTTATTAAAATGAAATCTAACACTCGATTTCCATTCCTCAATACCGCCCTCGTTGTATTCCGGTGTCGGCAGGTTAAACTCCGTTTATCCTGACCTCCGTATATATTTAAAATTACCGTTTTGAGTTCTTAAAGAGTGCTTAATTCGTCTTTGATTGAGTTCTTAGAGTTCCTTATTCATCTTTGGGTCTTGGTTTGCCCTGAACATTGCACTTTTTAATTAAAGTACATATATGGCCAAATCCACATTCGTGTTCCCGCCTGCCCAAACTGCCCTCTCGCCCGAAAAGACTAGTTCCAAGCTCCTTTGTAACCGTTTCGAATCTGATGATAGCGTAATGTTAATGGTGGCATATTATACACGCATATGCCCCGCGCAATTTTAAAATTAATTCAGCCATATTAAGCGGTAAGTTTAACCAATAGTTCAAAACGTGCAGCAACCGGAGACGACCGAGGGCGGTTGAGGGATGGAAACGAGTGCTGTACCGTGCAGATTACGTTACGCCAGTGCGGTTTCCGCCGTTGTTGTGCTTCTACAGGTCCCTACTACCGCGACGACAACTGCAAATGCTCACTCCGTCTGTACGCCGTGGACAATGCTGTTAAAGCGTCTATCAGAAAGCGGCCAGTGTGACTGCTGCTATAGCGGGCTGAGTCCCAACCTGAACGCTGAACCACAGCATTCGCTGCAGTATCATAAATTGGGAATGCCTGTCACCAATGGCGTGCAAGTCATTCGACGCAGCCGTGAGCAACGCACATCTGACATTTGTAAATGCTCATCGAATCCTCAGAATCCTAATTCAACGCCGCGGGAAAACCTTTCGAGTGCGAGTCGCCTGGTGAAGTTTGGTATTCTAATCTTAGGAAATGGCTACGCAAAGGCAGAGGCGCGCGTGGTAAGTTCTGGGCTGTCACGGAGAGCATCCGGCAAGGAGGGCCGCACCGTGACTTAGCATTCACGGTCCAAGCCACCACAGATGGATTAAGGAACCGGGTGCGATGACGTCCTCACCCACACAGGTGCATCGGCATCGATATATGTTGGCGTTGGATTAGTGATTGATATAACATTATATAGCTATAAGAGGACACACAACACACAACACACACAGCACACACACACACACCACCACACACACACACAGGCACACCACCACACAGGCACTCACGCGCTCGCGCGCAGCACACAACAGCACACACACACACACACGACACATCACACACACACACAGCAGCACACACACACAACACACACACCAGATCGATGAGCGAGACTCTGACGGACGATGACAGGGCGCGAGAAGCCCGAGTGCGAGCGCATACGAAAGTCTGTTCAGTAATTTTATAATCGGAAGTGCTCGTGCGCGTCGCGGTTGCCATGACGACTGACTCTCGTCACGCAGGCATCACGTACCCGGCCGGGGCGATGCAGGAGCGACTGCTACGGGAGGTGTACGGCGAGGCGGGGGTCGATCCGGCAATCGTAGCATAATGTAGAAGCTCACGGCACCGGCACTAAGGTCGGCGATCACACAGGAGCTCAACGCCGTTCACCGTGAAAGTTCTTTCTGCGAGGCCTCGCAGGGGGCGCTGCGAGTCGGGTTCGGCTGAATCCAACATGGGGCACGCCGAGGCTGCTTCCGGTAGGGAAAAGCGGTGACGATAGATATAGAATAGAAGAGATACATAGAAGAGATGCATAGAATGTCTAGTCTGTGGTCCATACATACCCGTCAGTGATTGGTTTCTT